TGAGTCCGCAGGCAGACTGTCTATCCATTGAGCCAAACCAGTCAGGGCCATATTTTTATTCTTGCTGGCCCAATACACATGTAGATTTATTTGTCTTCTTTATCCTATCTATAGAATGAAGAGTTATAGTATGGCTTAATTCCGAAGCCTTTGATTTTTTTCATAGACTTGGGATTCGAAGGTGTGTGATGAAGTTTAATGGGAGATGATGCCTAGAGATAGGGCTTTAATGTTTGTTTAATCTGCACAGCATAAGCTTCTTGGTTCTTACTTTTTAGTGTGGGAAGTTCACTTTCACCCATCCAACCCAGATCATCTATTTACCTGTTCGGAAGATGGATCCCTGTGGCATTGGGATGCCTCCACTGATGTACCTGAAAAGTCATCACTCTTTCACCAGGGTAAAAAGTTGTTTTTTGTTTGTTTGTTTATTCTCAAGGATATTTTTTTCTATTGATTTTTAGAGAAGGTAGAAGTAGGGGGCAGAGGGGAGGGGAGAGAAACATCACTGTGAAAGAGACATATTAATTGTTGCCTCCCACACCCTGACTGGGACCATTGAACCCTGACCAGGAATGGGGAAAGGGGCAGGGGAGGGGAGGGAAGGGGGCAGCAATGCTCTAATCAACACCAGCCAGAGCAGGTTTTGTTGGTTTTAGAGAGAGAGGGAGGGAGAAAGGTTTAGAGCACATGTGTCAAACACAAGGCCCTCGGGCCAAATCCGTCCCGCCAGGCCTTGCAATGTGGCCCGCACCGCGCTGTCATCACTGCACTCTGATGCGTTTCCATCACAATGACAGTTTATGACTGTTCAGTAAACCATTCGGCCCGCGATTTAGGCTGGATTTTAGATTTTGGCCCCTTCTCTGATTGAGTTCGACACCCCTAGTTTAGAGGAAGGGAGGGGGGAGAGAAAGAAACATTGATGTGAAAGAGAAATGTGGATTGGTTGCCTCCACCTAGTGCTGGGATGGAACCTGTGACCTGTCGGTGTATGGGAAGACATTGAGCCACACCAGCCAGGGTCACTGTGGCTATTGTATGGAAAATGGACTATGGGGAGAGGGATGGTAAAAGTGGAGGCAGGGACACCAGGTAGGAGATTAATCACAGTGATTCTAATAAGGTTATTTCACAGTATTCAAGTGTGATGTAAAATATGGAGCAGTAAAAGAAAAAACCAAGGGGAAATCTAACACTTCTCCAGAAAAAAAATGTGGAGAAGTATGGATTGTGTGGATCATGTAATGTTGGTTTTTTGTTCGTTTGTTTTAAATTTATCTTTATTATTGAAAGTATTACAAGTTCCCTCTTCCCCTACATGGACCTCCTCTGCCCTCCCAACATGTAGCATATTTGTGCTAACTTGATTTATGGAGAAAAATAACTTTATCTGAGGATTAACTAAGCACTTGGTTTTTACTTACTTTGTCCTCTGCCCCACTATCTAACATTTGAAATTTCACTGTTTGAAGAGCCTTTGTTAGGCTAGAAATAAAATAATTTACTATATTCTGAATCTAGTATTGCAGAGCACAGTATTAAACACTGTGGAAGGGTAAAACAAATATAATCTGTGCAACCTATTAAAAATTCTTAGTTATAGAGTTATAGAGAAAGGAGCATGGAAAGTTAAATCATAAGAAATATAATTAGTAAATTGGTGGTTACATACAGTGCTGAGGGTTCCTGGCAGGAAGAGAGAAGCATGAACTAGTGTTGCCTTCAAAAGCTTAGAGAAGGAAGTTGACTGGGCTTTCAAGAATCAGCAAGATTTTGCTGGCCGGTGGTTAGTGGTTGAGTGTCAGGAAGTCACGGGTTTGATTCCTGGTCAGGGCACATGCCCAGGGTGCAGGCTTGATTCCCCAGGTTGGTGTGTGCAGGAGGCAGCGGATCAATGATTCTCTCTCATCATTGATGTTTCTATCCCTTTCTCCCTCTCCCATCCTCTCTGAAATCGATAAAAATATATTTTAAAAAGAATTTTTAAAAAGAATCAGCAAGATTTGCACCTTACTAGTCATTAAGCTTGAAGATATCAGGGACTTCGCCTTGTATTCCCCGCACTTAAGCACAGAGCCTGGCACATCATAGTTACTCGGCCACATTTTGAATAAATGAAATCTGTCTTTATTTGATTTGGCAAAAAGTTGAGAGGAAAGAAAATTTCAAATAATGGCTTAAACTGAAACATACTGCTTCACTTCTATATTAAATACAGAGCACTGTTAGAGATAAAAGTTAATAATCTGGTAGTGTTCTAAAATTCTGCTTTTAAAATAAAGGGTCATAAAAACAAAAGCAGGTTGACTATATTTTATTTTTTCCTTATTCTACGTTTCTTCTGGCCATTTTGCTACATTTCTGACACTTTTCATTAAAGACTGAACAGAAAGACAGGGTCCACATAAATCTGCTTTGCCTAAAGTTGGATGTCCATATTATCCCATGGAAATTTGAGTTTTTATGTTGTGGAATAGGCCTTTGGTAAAAAATGGTGATGTGTAATCATGAATACCGTAATCAACCTGTTATTCCGAGAATTAAACAAGTTTAAGTCATCGCCTTTAAAAAATATGACTAGAATTTTGGATGTTCACTAATATACTAGTAAAATTAATCTTGAAAGATTTCTCTCCCCCTCCTCCCCTTTTTTTTTCTCCCAGGAGGAAGAAACAGTACGTTTTTGTCTCATAGCATTAGTAACCAGGCTAATGTTCACCAGTCTCTCATAAGCTCCTGGCTCAGCACTGATCCTGGGAGAGACCGGATTGAGATCACAAGCTTGCTTCCCAACAGGACTTTGTCTGTGAACAGTTTGGATGTTTTAGGTCCTTGTCTTGTTTGTGGAACTGATTCAGAAGCAATTTATGTTACTAGACAACTTTTTTCATGAAAATACTATCATTATAAGATATCAGGTAAAAACATACAAATAGCCTTTCAAATTCCAACTTCTATGTGCAAACTTTTATTATTGAAATGTGTGAAATTTGTAGTAAACTGTCATTAATGGCAATGGCCGGTTTGGATTTTGTTAGTTGGCTACTCTAACAGTTGCAGAATCTGTTAAGTGACTGACTGATGGCACAGAACGGGAACTTGTGGAAGAAGCTGGGATCCTCGTGTTGATGAATGCACTGCCTTCAAATACCCTCCTGGACACCTCGTGGAAGCTGCTCTTCATTTCTGATGTGAGCTGTCAAATCACCATCGGGTTCCTATCCTTTTTATTAACAGTATGTGGCATTAGTCAGTGTTAACGTTAATTCTTTTTATTGCAAATATTTTCTTCAGTCCTTTCACATTTTATGTCTTTAATAATTTTAATAAACTTTTCCAGAAACAATTGAGTAGAACAAAAAACTCACAAATTTTTTTTAAAGGGGAAAATGTTTTGACAGGTTCCTTTGAGTATCTTTGAACAGAACTCTATCAACTGCTTATTCCCAACTTTATTTTTCTTGATAAGAAAAAAGAAAATGCGTCTTCCCTAAGGATTTTTGCTTTTGTTTAGTTTTATAATGTAGTTGAAAATTGCTGGACATTATGCATTAAAATAGAATTTGACATTGGTAGGTGAGCCGACTTTGAAACTAAAATTTGGTAGGTAACATGTATGAGATTAGTGTGATTGTACGGTTAAGAGTAAAGAATTTAGCTGTCTTTATCCTTATTTGAAATGTTAATATGACCTTCCATAGTGTTTTAAGACAGTATTATGACATTGTCTTTCCATAATGTGTTAGATTAAATGCAATATTGAAGTGTGTTCATGTACTTTATAATTCCAATAATAGTAATTATGGTCAAGTTTTGCTTTTCTCTTAATATTTTAAGAAAACTTTATGCTACCTTATCTCAGGGTTTTTGTTTTTGTTTCTTTGTCAGTATTTAAAAATGAAATATGTATATGAATCTGCTTTTATATATATTTGGCTCAAAAATGTTTCATTAATTAGTGACTGAATTCTAAAGAATTAGGAGGAAAGAAAATGTTGCTGATAAGAATTTTTAAACTGTTTATAATGTGATTACTGGGATTAATTTTTAAAAACTTGTTATTACAAAAGTAATTCATTACAGAAAAACAAATTTTAACTACTAATTATCTTAATTAATAGTCTTTTATATTCCTTTTATTCATCAATGTATATAATTTTTGTGAAAATGAAATACATATAGATGCACATTCCCCACCAGTAAACACATGAGTTCAATCATATAAACATAGCTATGAATTTTCCTTTGACTTTTTATTTCCATTTGTATGAATGTCGTGCTGCAGCCTAAGCTACAATGTCCTTCATTATCTAGTATAAGCACCTTCCCTTTACAGTTAGTAGGCTAACCTCCTTAAAAAAAAAAAAAAAAAAAAAAAAATATATATATATATATATATATATATATATATATATATATATATATATATATTTTGATTTCAGAGAGGAAGAGGGAGAAAAAGATAGAAATATCAGTGATAAGAGAATTATTGATGGGCTGCATCCCGCATGCCCCCTACTGGAGATCAAGCTTGCAACCTGAGTATGTGCCCTTGACCAGAGTTGAACCCAGGATCCTTCAGTCCACAGACTGACACTCTATCTACTGAGCCAAACCATCTAGGGCAGAAGGCTAACCTTGCTCTGAATCGAAGACCCTAGCTAGTTTTCTGGTGGCACATTTTCCATGCACAGTAAATGGTACACCTGTGGCTCTGCTTTTACCTGTATTACCCACTGCTGTAACGTTTGAAGGTTTCATCCATGTTAGCACTCTTCTCAGTTTCCAGCAGCAGTGTATACCGTTTCCCTGGGTCATTATGGTGAATGATGGTAGAGGGAAGGAGCCAGACGCCTAGGCTTAAATATTAGCTGGGACTGGAAACGGTTTTAAATTTCAAGCTTTGCTTTGCTTGGACTGGAAACATGTTTAAGTTTCAAGCTTTGCTTTGATTTAAGGGTATTTATAACCATATGTAAAAGTACATTTGAATAGTGTTACATTTGATACATTTAATAAGAAACAAGTTTTATGTAGTATAAATTAAACACTAATGTATGAATTTGCTCTTTGTCACTTACTGCCTTTTACTAGAATGAAACTATGAAATGTTTTTTTGAGGCTGCAGGATCTCAGAGGTGGGATGCTCTTTAGGGCATCTCCAGCCTACATCTAACCATCCCTCCCACAGCATTCCCAACAAGTCCTCATCCATAGATCTGAAAATACTCTGCAGCCTCTCACCATTTGGACAGCTCTATTTGATCCAGCCATGATGGCAGGGTTTTAGTACGTGTGGGGCTCAAAACGGTCCTATAAAAAAAAGGTAGAATAATGTTATTGTGGGTTAATAAAATGATCATGTGAACCTGCTATGAGACAAAGCCCATCACCAATCCATTATGTTGGGGTACTTTACCAGAAGGTTTCATTAAATAAATGTTTTTTTCATATACTGAATTGAAATAGGCTTCCATTTGTCGTCTTTCCTCAGGAGCCACAAAAATTTTAATTCTCATATTCAAGTAGCTACCTATGATAGCTCCTTTAAGGTGAAACTTCTTAATCTACCCCTTCATTGGTTTCTTGAGGGCAAGGTTCCCTTCCCAGCCTCTCTTGCCCTAGTTGGCTAGATCCTGCTTACTCTTCTGGGCTCCTTTTAGGGGTCATTTTCTCAAGAAAGCCTGCCCTGACCTCTGACAATGTGGCTAAGTTGTATTTCTAAAGGCCATTGTGCTTAGAGCTGTGTGCTAAGCAGCCTGTCTCCCTCTACTGGACCACAAGCTTACGAGCAGAGCCCAGGTGTTATATAGACAATATTTAATTCCATGTCTGGCCCATGGTAAGCACTGCCTTAGTGCAAACTGAACTAAATCCTAATCTTGTTTTCCTTTTTTAAAAAAAAATACTCCCATTTTTCAAAGGCCAGCTTTAAAGTGAGACTTCTAAAATGAATACTTTTCCAGGGAGTGTCTGTCTCACTTGAGAATATGATAGAAATCTTATCCTGATTTTGGGCACAGTACTCTTTTGTAATGCTGTGTGAGTTGATTTGAATAATTCTGACATTTGTTCACTTAGACTGCTGACCACTGAACTTAAACCCTTACGTTTTTGCACATCATATGCTTAAGCCATATTTCCCATATTGAGTTAATGCAGGTGGTTTTGATCCTTGCTATGGGCTCATCCTTTGTGTTCTAGGAAGACCCATTTTATTTCAATATAGGAAAGAATTAAGCCCCTCAGAATCTTTTCTTGAGAAAAATTATTTTCAGAATTGTCCAGCATGCTTTCCGTATTCTCTTCCCATTAGTTAGGAAATAGGTTAAATGGACTGAAGTGCTTCGTCCCACTCCCAGAGTCCTCTCAATCATCGGTGACACATGAATCGCTGGTATTTGGTTACAGTCACTGAAATATTTAAAACCAACCTAATGTGTTGACATTCTGCCTCATTTCTCTTGTTCACAAGACTATTTTGAGAAAACATCTCTGCTATAGCTATCCTATCAAAAATTGGCATAATCTCTGCGGATCACTCCTTTCCCTGCTCTTCTGTCCCCCTACTTCATAGCAGTCCATCTCCTAGTCTTAGAGTGATTCGTCCAGCTCTGAATTATCGAGGAATTTTCCCAAGGACAGTAGTCTATGGAGATACTTGTCTTTATGCTCAGAGAGAATTGAGAAACTTAAGTGAAGAAGTTCCTTGAATTGCTGAGAGGTGACAGAACCGTGGGTAGCACACTTCCAAACGCAGGCAGGCCTGTGAACATAGATTCCTATAACGTGCAGGATGAAAGGGACCTAGAAATTATTTCATCCTCCAGTAGAAGTAAAAACTAGGATTATTGAGTGACCACCTTGGGTCAAATCCTCTACCTTGTACAAACTCTGTGTTTGTGAAACATTGATTTTCTTTCATTTTAAATATTTTTTCATTTAATTCAAAGAGGAAGGGAGAGAGAGAAACATCAAACCATTTGATCTGATGTCTCCTGCACGCCCCCTACTGGCTTTGGCACAAACTAGTTTTGGCTGGAATGTAATCTTAATATATTTTCTCTTCACATTTGAATTTTTTGGATATAGTAGCCAGTAACTAACATCAGAAAAAGAAGTCTTAATTAAAAAAAAATTTTTTTTGTAAACTAGTAAAAAAAATGATGAAAGGGAATTTAAAAACTTGCATACATTTTCAAGAGGCAGAACTGGCAAAGGCGGTCTACAAACGGTACTTTCAAACATATCCCAATGATTCCATCCCAAATAATTCCATTTCTTTTTTTTAAATTTTATTTTATTTATTTTTTTTTTTCCATTTCAATTTAACAGAAAATAAAACCTCACAGTCACTGTTATTCCAATTATGGCAATAAAGGCTTTCCTGCTGATTTTGGTTGACATAAAAATCCCGAAACTCTGTTAATCTTTCTTGGTTCAAGAATACGTTTTGGAATATGTTTCGGAAAATACTTAAATTCACGGATTTACTGGGGAAACGAGACAAAAAAAAAAAAAAAAAAAAGCAAAATAATTTTCTTTCAAAGCCTCTAAAAATCCCGAACCCTGCTGTCCGCACGAGGTTTCAGAGAGCAACGCACTGCTGTTTCCTTCTGAGAATAAAGCGCCAGAGCTGCGCATCTTCCTTCTATTCTCACCCTTAGAGTCCACTGAGAGGAGGGAGGGAGCTGCAGGCCACGCGTGGGCTCCGGCGGGGCCAGTCCCCGGGGCGCCGGGCCGGGGAGCGGGCGCCGGGCGGCGGGCGGCGGGCGGCGCGCTCGGCGGGCAGAAGCCCCCAGTCCTCGGCCCCCGCGCAAGCGCCGCCGGGAAATGCCCACATCCCACATCCGGGAAACCTGCGGCAGCGACACCGAGTGGAAGGCAAGATGGCGGCGGCGGCAATGGCCTGGTGCTAAGGGGAGAGCCAGGTCCCCGCGACCCTCGCTTCGGGCCGCGCTGGCCGCGGCAGCCCCGCGCCTCTCCCCGCCCTGCCCGCCGGCACCCTCGGGGCCCCGCAGGGCTTCCGGCCGCCCGGCGCCCCCGCGGCCCGCGGCCGCCGTCCGGGAGCCCGCGCTCCCCGCAGGTAGGTCGCGGCCGGCGTAGCGGCAGGGGCCACTTTCTCCTCCGGGGCCGGGGCCGGGGCCGGGGCCGGGGCCGGGGCCGGAGCGGCGGGCGGTGGCCGCCGGGCCCACGCCCTCCCGGCTGGCGGGGCTCCCCGGCCGCTGCGGACGGGCGGGCGGCGGGCTGGAGGCCGGACCGAGCTGAGCCCGGCCCGGGGCAGCGAGGGCTGGCCGCGCCGGGCCGGAGGGAGAGCCCCAGGCTTTGCGGCCTGGGAGGTGCAGGCTCGGCTGGGACGAGCCCGCTCCGCTGGAGGCCCAGCGGCGGTGGCCGGGGAGGAGGAAAGCGAAAGTGGTCGGGAAGGAAAACTCCAGGGAAAGGCTGCGGCTCTCGGACAACTAGAGGGACCGGACTGGGCACACCTGGGAGAAACCCTGGGCATTGCAGTGCAGCCCACCCTGATGCCAGGTTGCTGTTCACGGTTACAAGGAGTGGGACAGGTGGGAAGGGTCTTTAGGTGGTGAGAGTGGGAGTAAACACAAAATGAAGGAGAGAAAACTAAGGGAACATTGTTTATTTTAACTTCAAGAAGAACTTGAATGTTAATGGCTCTCAGGCGACTTGTTCTAACTCTGTTCTCTTAAAGTTTGTTGACCCATATGTTAATATGGCTTAAAAGATGTCCTCGTGTACAAGTGACTCGTAAACCTAGAGGGAAATTATAGCAGTTGCACACACACATAATATTGTATCAGTCCAGTTTGGGAGATGGATTTGAATGCCTGAGATCATGAGGTTTGTCAGGATTTGTGGATTATTTATGAAGTTTGGGGGGGAAAATTTTTTTTTTATCACATTTCCTCCAGGAAGAGGAAATTATAACTAGAATGAATGTTCTCTGCTAAGATATCTACATTTGTGATTTAACTAAGTTCATTTCTTTTCCTTTAGTAAGTTGACAGGTAAAATGGGCAGGTGGAAAAATTTGATTGAACAGCAAAAGAAGTAGCATTGTGTTCCTCTGATCAGCTGCTACTGCCAGAAACTACCGTTTCCCCGAAAATAAGACAGTGTCTTATATTAATTTTTGCTCCCAAAGATGCACTAGGTCTTATTTTCAGGGGATGTCTTATTTTTCCATGAAGAAGAATACGGTACACATTTATTGTTAAATGAAAATAAAGGAAATTTATTACCTGTATGCGGTACGGTAGTACGGTAGTTGTCAACACAAACCAGATAAACTGTGAATCCTACAGTATCAAGAATTTACTCATTTATTCAATGTCAATCATGTCATCATCATCTGGAACATCATCATAACAATCCAATTCCTGAATTTCCTGGCGAATTTTTTGTGACTCCATTTCTTTCAGAATTAGTGGACCAAATCTCATGTTTAGCCTGGGGGGCCTTATTTTCGGGGATGCCTTAAATTTAACTCAGAAGGAAACTTGTAAGTAGGTCTTATTTTCGGAGGATGTCTTATTTTCGGGGAAACACGTTAGATCGTGGAACATGCTGGGAAAAGTGCAGTCTTTCCATGCCTGAGTATTTATTGAACATGCCTTATGAATCTCTAAAAGCAAATAAAAAATACTGCTGCATTTTTTTTTTGGTATGATATGTAGATTTCCTTCTATAGATTGAGTTTTTATTTTTTAAATGCTCGTCCTTGATGTTTTATATAAACATAGCCTTGGAATCGTTCCAACTCTGGTTATTTAGTTTTCATTCTCAATGTTAAGATTAGTGGAGGGTTTTTGTAAACCACAACAGTTATTTAGTCATTGAACAACTTTTTTATTGAGTAGAAATGGCAGTAATTTTTCAACATGAAGGTAAATTATAGTGATTCTCTTCACTTTTGATTAGTTAATTCTTAGAAAGCTAATTGAAAGAAATGCCACATTATGCAGAGATTCTTGAATATTGCTGACTAAACAACTAAGTCTATGCTGCAAAGAAAGAAACGGTACATATGACTGTTGCTAGTCTCATAACTGATTTTAGTCAGAGCATTGAGATAAGCCATAATTCTTATAAACCTAATTCAACCCAAGGTAACCCTCCAAAATCTCTTTAGGTCGTGATACCTATTTTTTCCTAAGTTGGACAAAATATCAACTATATTTGTTTGGATTTATGATATTTGCATAATTGATGAAGGTTTGAATGTTTTGTCTATTCACTCTATCCAATATTTGTACCCTTCAAAGAGATAGAGAGTCTTAATCCCTGCTTTTAGGAAACTCAAAATGTAGGAATAATGAGAACAACTCTGGGCTGGTTCAGGATGTGTGGAGTCGATTCCTAATATGATCTCCTTCTGGCTACATGACCCTAGGCAGGCCACCTTACCTCTTAATCTGTTAACTCATCTGGGTGAGTTATATTTTTTATATAAACTAATCCTCAGCCAAGGACATGTTTATTGATTTTGAGAGAGAGAGAGAGAGAGAGAGAGAGAAACATCAATCAGTTGCCTCTTGTATGTGCCAACTGGGATTGAACCTGAAACCTGGGTATGTGCCGGGACCGGGAATTTCAACTTTTAGGCGTATGGGATGACACTCCAACCCACTGAGCCACATCAGCCTGAACCAAACTGGCTATGGCCCTAAAGCACTCTTAAAATCATTTTTTATCATTATAACCTACTTTATGTAACTTTATAGATTAAGACCTAGGCATGGAGAAGTTAACTAAATTTGCCTTGATCATGCAGTAATCCATAATAGAGCCAGAACTATAACCTAGGACTCCACCTCCTAAATCAGTGTGTCTTCCCTTTCCCCCACCTTCCCTATTCAGGGTATTGCTTTATCAGTAAATCACTTTATAGCTTTTACTTATTTTTCTTTTACAGGGTTCATTATCTGAAGAAGTTTGAAGAAGTTAATTAGCTAAAGAAGTAAAGAAGTTTGACATTCCTGGCTACTTCTGCAAAGGACCTTCTTCAGTTTTGCTCAAGAGAAGGCTCTGAATCTGTCGAGTGGCCCTTACAGTACTTTGTGTGGGTTATACATATAGATGTTTTCATGAAGAGAAGTGAAAAACCAGAAGGATATAGACAAATGAGGCCTAAGACCTTTCCTGCCAGTAACTATACTGGCAGCAGCCGGCAAATGTTGCAAGAAATTCGGGAATCCCTTAGGAATTTATCCAAACCATCCGATGCTGCAAAGGCTGAGCATAACATAAGTAAAACATCAATTGAAGATCCTCGACAAGTCAGAAATCCACCCAAATTTGGGACTCATCATAAAGCCTTGCTGGAAATTCGAAACTCGCTACAACCATTCGCAAATGAAACAAGTCGGAGTACTCTAGAGGTTAATCCACAAATGCTGCAAGATTTACAAGCTGCTGGATTTGATGAGGTAAGAACTTTTAAAAACAAAAGAAAGGATTTTTCTTACATTACACATTTTTAGTGACTTCCTGCCTAAATGTTTCTTTTAATATATATACAAATTTGTGTATTGAATTCGAGTAGAATGTTCACAATTTCACAGTTTGATTCCTGGCGGAGGCATATGCTCAGGTTATGGACTCGATCCCATTGTGGGGCTAGGGGGCATGCAGGAGGCAGCTGATCAATGATTCGCATCATTGATGTTTCTGTCTTTCCCTCTCTTCTTTAAGAAATCAATAAAAAATTAATAAAATAAAAAAAAGTAAAAAAAAGAAAGAAAGAATGAGAAATAGCCCTGGCTGGTGTGGCTCGGTTGGGTGTCATCCCGTGCACCAAAAGGTTGCTGGTCAGGACATGCCTGGGTTGCAGGCTCGATTCCTGATTGGGGCGTGAAGGGGGCGGAAGGGGAGGGGAAACACGACTAGGGGAATGGCCCTACAGGAGGCACCACATCAATGTTTCTCTTTCCCTTTCTCTCTCTTTAAATACTAAAAAAAAAGAAAAAAAAAAAGAATGAGAAGTAATCAGAATTATATTGCTATGATTTTACCTGGAAGAAGTTAAGCCTAGAAAATAAAACCCAACTAATTGATACATCGAGGTGAAAATATTAAATAGTTGGAGGATTTGAGAGTTTGTTTTGTTTTCTTTAGTAATTTGAAAATGTATGGATTTTCATAGTAGTTTTACAAATAGGACATGAATATTATGATTTGGGGTCCTGTTCTTCATAATTGGATTTTTTAGTGGAACTCATAGTGCTCTTTCCCTCTTATTAATTATAAGATTTAAATTTTGTTTCTTTTTTTTAATTTCATATCAGGATATGGTTATACAAGCTCTTCAGAAAACTAATAACAGAAGTATAGAAGCTGCAATTGAATTCATTAGTAAAATGAGTTACCAAGATCCGCGACGGGAACAGATGGTTACAGCAGCTGCCAGACCTATTAATGCCAGTTTGAAACCAGGTGATTAATCAAACTTTTCTCCTACTCTTTTATTTTGTAGCATTGTCTTAAAATATAAGTATATCAAGTCTTTAGTCTCAGAAGTTGGTAAAAGCATCACAGTAAGAGAAAGTCTCAAATTAGGATAACAATGTTACAGTGTTACACTAGACCAAAATGAATGAGAGCATGGCCCTAAAGTTCCATAGGTAATTCTAATAGGCAGCAGTAGTTAAGAACTAAATTACTTACATTGCAACTGAAATATTCCTTTTATTTTTTTTTATTTTTATTTTTTTAAATATATTTTATTGATTTTTTTTTGCCCCCCTCCCTTCCTTCCATACATCCCCTCCCTCCCCAGAGTTTTGTGTCCATTGATTGTACTTATATGCATGTATAAAAGTCCTTCGGTTGATCTATTATCTCCCCCAGATCTTCCTCCCCTCCCCGCTGTAATTTGACAATCTACTTGTTGATATACTGTCTCTATATCTACCTTTTGGTTCATCAGTTTATAATGCTCTTTATCATCCACAAATGAGTGAGGTCATGTGGTGTTCCTCTTTCATTGATTGGCTTATTTCAGCATGATGTTCTCCAATTCCATCCAGGTTGCTGCAAATGATGAGAATTCCTTCTTTTTTATGGCAGCATAGTATTCCATTGTGTAGATGTACCATAGTTTTTGGATCCAATCATCTGCTGACGGGCACCTAGGCTGTTTCCAAATTCTGGCTATTGTAGATTGTGCTGCTATGAACATAGGGGTGCATATATCCTTTCTGATTGGTGTTTCTACCAATAGTTTCTTGGGATATATTCCTAGAAGTGGGATTACTGGGTCAAAAGGGAGTTCCATTTTCAGTTTTTTGAGGAAACTCCACACTGTTCTCCACAGTGGTTGCACCAGTCTGCATTCCCACCAGCAGTGCACGAGGGTTCCTTTTTCTCCGTAACCTCGCCAACACTTGTCGTTTGTTGACTTGTTGATGTTGGCCATTCTGACAGGTTGAAATATTCCTTTTAACCACAAATATAGTTCAAACTATTTTTTATTCTAAGAGTAAAAACATGTTTATCATAGAACATTTAGAAAGTATTAAGCAAAAAGAAAACACTATTTATACCCACAAGATTTTGTTGTGTTTTGTTTCTTAGTCTTTTTTCCTGTGGAAAACTTGGGTAGGTTTATACCTGTGTATATTGATTCTTTTGTTTAAGCAAAAAATGGGTCATACTGAAACCTACTTCCTTCATTTAATATACCATGCATAACATTCCTTGTTATTAAATGGAATGGTTTTAATATTTAGATACATTAAAATAGATTTATCACGTATTTTACTTAACCAGTCTCTCAATTTTGACATTTATCTTTTTTCCCATTATAAATGCATTGTTCCTAAATATTTGTACATTCCTGATGATTTTGTTAAATTTTTTAAAACTTGCAGAAATTTAAGGCTTCTCTTAGATTTTGCTGTCAGAAAGATGTTACCAACTTATATTTTCCCAATCAGTTTAATATGAGAATTCCTATAATTGTAAATTTTAGGTATTATTATTTTAAAAAAGAATATGAACTCCATGGGCCATCCAAATTGTTTTATTCAAATAGAGGATTTGTTGTTGTTGTTTTGTTTTGTTTTTAAATATATCTTTATTGATTTCAGAGAAAAGGAGGGATAGATAGAAACAATGTAGAGAGAGAATCATTGATTGGCTGCCTCCTGCACACCCCTCACTGGGGATCAAACCCTAAACCTGAGCATTGTTCTTTGATTGGGAATTGAACCATGACCTACTGGTTTATAGGTCAACACTTAACCACTGAGCCACACTGGCAGGGCAGTATGTTTATGTATGTATGTATGTATTTATTAAATATATTTTACTGATTTTCTTTACAGAGAAGAAGGGAGAGAGAAAGAGAGTTAGAAACATTGATGAGAGAGAAACATCTATCAGCTGCCTCCTGTACAACCTCCCACTGGGGATGTGCCTGCAACCAAGGTACATGCCCTTGACTGGAATTGAACCTGCGACTCTTTAGTCCACAGGGTGACGCTCTATTCACTGAGCCAAACCAGTCAGGGCTCATTTTTGTATATTTAATGGCTGTGGAAATACTGTCTCATTTTACATTGTTTATATGTTATTTTTGAATTGGCATTTTAATTCTTTGTTAATCTTGTGTGTTTTTGTACTAATTTACTAGAGGTCCAGTGCATGAATTCATGCACAGGTGGGGTCTGGCAGGCCCAGCCCCAATTGGGGTGGATGGGGGCCGGGCCTTTCAGGAGGAGGAGATGGCAGGAGTTAGCTGGCCGGCATGTCCTGATTGGGGCCTGATCAGGGATGGGTTGGCTGGAGGGAGGGGCTGAGGAGGTTGGCTGCTGGTTAGATAGATAGGTAGATAGATAAGAGGCCTTATTATTCAATTTTTCTCTCATTCAGCACATTTTTATTGATCAGCAACTGTTTCATGCCATTGCTGGGCATTGGGTATAAAGATCTTGCCCTTTTATGAAGTTGCCATTCTAGTAAGGAAGATCAAATACATGTGGAATTATCCTATCTGATAGAGGGAATGTGCTCATTGACCATAATTGCCCTCACAAAGATGGTGGCACCCACAGCCACAAGATGGCATTGTCCAGTCCCCTCAGCCCCGCGTGCCCCCAGGTGGGTCCGGCTGCTCCTCGCACTTGCCTCTAGAGTCCCCTCAACCCCCACCTGCCCACTGCTGGCCCCCTCCTCCCAGGGCCACCCGAGGCTTGTCCTGCCAGCTGTGGCAGCAGCAGGAGTGTGATGGGGCGGCCCTTTCCCCTGATCGCCAGGTTGCCTCCCTACCCTGAGGGCTCCCAGACTGTGAGAGGGGGCAGGCCGGGCTGAGGGACCCCCCTACTGTGCATGAATTTTCACTCAATGGGCCACTAGTAATTGCAAAAGGGTGAATGAAGAGGGGAGAGAGAGAGTTCCATGGTACTGTGGACTCTTATAATAGAGTGATTTTTTTTTTTAATGTAATCAAGGAGATAAGAGAAAACCTTCCTGTGAAACTAATAATAGAACCAATATCTGAAGAAAGACAAGGGAATGACTTTATTGAGGAAGAATATCCTTAGGGTTGGCCTGTTTGACAGGTTTTGATACCACATTTGAAGAAAGTGGTTAGAGCACTGACAACAAAAGTATGAGATAGGACTGGAGAAGGACTGTATTGATTTTATCATAAGAGCAGTAGGCAGTTAAGGAAACATTTCAAGTAGGGTGATGACAAGATTAAATTTGTGTTTTTAAAACATGGCTGCAGGGGACGGAAGAACAGATTAGAGACAGCAAGAGATGGTATCTGGATAGATTTGATAAGAGACAGTTCACAGGAAATGGAGGTATTCTGGACTGGGCAATGGCAGTGGAGAAAAGTGAATGAATTAAGAGAAATGGGAAGAGTATTGGTGACAAGGATTGGTGATTGCATATGGGCGATGATGCTAGAGAGGGATGACTCTTAGGCTTTTGGTGTGGAAAACGGATGGTGATACACTACATTATGAAAGAATACTAAGAGAGAACAGGATTTGGGGAGAAAGATCATGCATAAGTCTGGTTGTAGACATGAGCTTGAGTTAAGCTCAAAGTGAAGATGTCAGTAGGAAGCTAGTTAGATACTTTTTTTTTTTTTTTGTATTAGCCTT